CCCCGCCTCTCTCTCTCTCTTTCTCTCTCGCTGCTGGTGCTAATGAGCCCTGCTCCAGCGTCGCTTCCACGCCTAATTGGCTGATCAAGCCGCCCATTTCCCCCCTTTGAATCCCCCCGCTTCCCTCCCTCTTCCTCTGAAAGTGTGATTCGCCCGCTTGGCGCATTAGTGTCGGGCGCGCCTTCGAATGGCATAAAAGGGGAAATAAACAAGGGTGGGTGCGAAAAAGTTTTCTTTATTTTTGAAAAGAAAAACAAACACGCCAGAAAAATGTTCACTTTTACTGTCCTACACAAATCATCATGCAATTATTGTTTTAAAACGCCATGCTATGTGATGGTACACTCATTCACTTATTCGGCCAATTTTCAGCGTGGAAGGTGCTGGTGGGGGGGGGGGGTGCGTAGGCATAGCAGTGCGACGCGTACGACACTCCCTTGCCACGCCTAAAGGAAAAGAAAAAGACGAGTAGACGACAGGGAAAAATGAACAGCGGGTGGGCACCTCAAAGACCAGTTAAAGAAAGTCAGGTGTGGGTGATGAAAAGATGAACGGACCAGGCTCATTTACTGACATGTTTTTTTTCGTTGTTTTTTGTTGCAGCTGCTGGGGGCATTGCTGCTCCTCGCGGGGACTCCACACGTCAGCGGCACGCCCCAGACAAGAAGTAGAAAAGAGTAAGTGGAGGCGGGGGTGTATCAAACATTTGCATCTATTAAGGAAGCCCCCTATGAGTCTACCTGACCTCCTCACGGCCGTCCCGACGGTCTTGGCGTCCGCCGAGGTGGTCGGCGGTGCTCACGCCGGCGCAGGTCCTCGCCTCGCACAGCGCCGGAGTTTCTCCCCCATGACAAGCATCCATCATGTGACAGGGTCGGGGCGGGCCGGGCCGGGCTGGGCTGCTGGGCCGTGGACCGCGCTGGGGGTCACCGGCGGTCAATGGTTCGTGCAGGCCCAGGGCTCGGCGGCGGTGCCCATAAAATGTGAGAAGCGAGACGAGGTTGGACAGGTCTCCGCGCTGCCGTTGTCACGCCAGCCCCCCGCTCGCGAGGTTGCGCCAAGCCGATCACGGCAATCATCATCATCATCATCATCGTCAGTTAGCACCAATAACGTATCACGGCACTTTCCTCTGTTGCAGCCTCAACGCGCAGCTAGCTATCGCCCAGGCCCGGGACGGTGGCGGCGGTGGTGACTTTGGCGGTGGACTCGGAGGCCCGTCCGCATCGTACGGCGCGCCGGCCGCGCCCTCCCCCAGCTACGGCGTCCCCGAGGGGCCTTCCAGCAGCTACGGAGCACCCTCCATCCCGTCCAGCAGCTACGGGGCGCCGTCGATCCCGTCCAGCAGCTACGGGGCGCCGTCGATCCCGTCCAGCAGTTACGGAACGCCGTCGATCCCGTCCAGCAGTTACGGAACGCCGTCGATCCCGTCCAGCAGTTACGGAACGCCGTCGATCCCGTCCAGCAGCTACGGAACGCCGTCGATCCCGTCCGGTAGCTACGGGGCACCCGAGACCAGCTATGGCGCGCCCGAGTCACCCGCTCCTAGCTACGGAGCACCCGCTCCTAGTTACGGAGCACCCGCTCCTAGCTACGGAGTGCCGGCACCAAGCTACGGGCCCCCCGTCGAAGAGCACCACGAGCCCAAAGGCGAGTTCAAAAAGAAGCTTGTCTGGAAGCCCGACTGGAAGAAGGTGACTAAGAAGGTGAAGAAGAAGGTCTGGAAGACGGAGTGGAAGAAGATTCAAGTGCCCGTCTGGAAGGAAGTGAAGGTGCCCGCCTGGAAGGAAGAGAAGGTCCCTGAGTGGAAGACCGTGGCCAAACCCGTCTGGAAGGAAATCAAGTCCCCCGCTTGGAAGGAAGTAAAGGTACCCGACTGGAAGATTGTCAAAACCCCGTACTGGAAAGAGACCGAGGTTCCGATATGGAAAGAGGTGAAGGTGCCAGCCTGGAAGAAGATCTGGGTGCCGGTAATGGAGAAGGTCTGGGTGGAGGAGGAGAGCCACGGCTGGGACGAGCATGGACACGGACACAAGAAAGGCGTGTGGAAGAAGAAGCTGACGTGGAAGGCATCCTGGAAGAAAATCTGGAAGACGGAGAAGAAACAAGCCTGGGTCAAGGAAAAGAAGGAGCTCTGGAAGGAGGATAAAGTGCAGATCTGGAGAACGGAAAAGAAGCAGATCTGGGTGAAAGAGAAGAAGATGGAGTGGAAGACGGAGAAGATTCAGGTGTGGAAGACGCAGAAGAAAGAGGTGTGGATCCCAAAGAAAGTCAAGGAGTGGAAGGACGAGTGGGTGAAGGAAAAGGTACCCGCCTGGAAGGAGGAAGAGGTGGTCGAGTGGAAGAAGATTTGGAAGCCCGAGTGGAAGAGCATATGGGTGCCAAAGAAGGAAGAGCATCACGATCACGGCGGCTACCACTACTAGGAATGTAATTCCAGACAAGACACGGTGGTAACCAGTGGAAGGAGGGGGCGTGGGGGGCGAGAGGCCAGGAGCCACGCTCTGTCGCGTGTGTGCAGTGTGCAGCGACAGACTGAGACACTTGTCGCCCTTCCCCCTCCCCGCCCCTCTCCGTATCGGAGAGTCATCCAGTACCTAATTTATGAAACGAGTGTGTGTGTGTGTGTGCGTCGGTGGGAGTGAGTCAGACATAGGTAGAGCGCTTCGTCCGGGTAAAAACGGTGCTTTTACCGGGGGGGACACAAATCCCTCCCAACTTCGCGACTTTGCAACAAGTGGTTTTCGCCATACTGTTTTATCCTCTCTTTGTGTGATTTTGATGGTTCGCCTTACTTTCTCTGTCCACTTTAAAATGTATCAGATTCGATATGTTCGCAAAAATATGTTATTTTTTTTTGGATATTGCCTTTTGGTCTATTCTATGGCTGTCAAAATTCTGTCCGCCTTATCAAAGGTGTAAGTACGTACACGTCCTACCTGTACGTCATTGGCATTAGGCCAACGCACTAGGCCAACCCGGCATAAGAAGCCCCAAAGACACAGAGAGTGCATTGTAGCGATTTCGTAGAGAAATCCAGACTGAAAATATAAAGACGGGATTTTGTAGATTTCGCGCGATTCGGCAAAGATTACTACATCCCACCAATCTGATATATGTTTGTAGAATCTTCTCAACTTGCTGTGCTTATTGATGTGTCATGGAACAAAGTGTTGTTAGTATTGTTATGTCGTTGGTCGTTTTCTACTTTTTTCATGGCATCACATTGTTGACTATTGCTTAAGATTTTCATTTTTTGTAAATATTGGTGCAAATAAATGATAATATCGATGTTGACTAAAGAAAAGACTAACAATCGTTAGCGTTTCCCCCTTAGCCTAACTCACCGACGCTAAATCACGTCATTTCAAAAATTCGCTGATCCACGGCCGGATGGTAGACGAAGAAACTCGCTCGTAGAAGTACAAATTTGTCGATGTATCTAAAATAAAACGAAACACTGGGCCTGCTGGGTTGAAAATAGTGGTCCGGGCATGGAAAGTAGTTGACCCCTCCGACACACGTGCCGCACAAGTTGCCTAAGCGCAGGCGCTCGGATGGGGGGAAAGGAGGGGGGGGGCGTGGATAAAGAGCCGTGGAGTCGCGGACGCGGCGATAAATACAAGCGCATGGCTCTACGACTGAGCGGTATCAGGCTCTCAAGGGCCTAAATCATATCAGTCGTGAGCCGCGCCTCGCTGGCGACGGGTCGACGGGTCGGGTCGGACGTGACGAGCAGTCGCGGGCAACGTCGCACCACCCCCGACGAATTCAAATGCACCCGCGCCTCATTTTCTTGGGCATTCCCCCTTAAATGAACAAAGGCGTAATCGTTTTATTTTAGCCTTGTTTTTTGTGCGTGTTTGGCGCGGCATTTGATTATGGCGACGGGCAAGCAGCCGAAGGCGTTCAAGAGAAGGTGGCTGCAGTGTCCTTTCACGTGGAAGATACCTAAAGAGCTGTTCAGGCGCGAGTTGTCCCGCGAAAAGGAGACCCTATCCCTCGCCCCAAACGTCTGGACCGTTGTGCTGAGCAAACTGTTTCTGGCGTACCAGTATGCGATGTGGGACGATGAAGAGACTAGCAAGAGGCTGCTCGTGGAGTGCTATCTGCCTCTTGTAGCGCTGGAAGTGAAGGGCCTAGAGGGAGATGACATGGTTTTGGTCAAGGAATTCCAAATCGCTTTGAAGCATGTCATTGATTCTTGTTGGGCTTTTGTATGCTGCAATAAAAAAGGTTCTGATGTAGAATCATTTCTGCAAAGTATAACTCCATTCTCCACAATGAGCAACTCTCAGAAATCTGCAGTGTGGGCAATACGTAGCAAACTAATTCGCCATGAAGGCAAGCATCATAGATATATTTTCATAATTTAACCATACTCTAGTTTTGCTGTAAAAACATCTTCTTTTTCATGTTTAGATAGTCTGAGCCTGACAGCTATTGAAACTGCCATTACCCTAAATCCAAATGAAGGCCAATGGCAATTGTATAAAGGTCAGCTCTTGCACCAGTTAGACATTGAAGAAGAGGAGTTCAAGGCTCTTCAGATGGCTTTCCTTAATCGAAACTCAGCTGAAATCACAATTGTATATGCAATTGCCTTAATTGAACATCAGCTTAGAAGAAGAGAAGAAATTAAGGCTGGATTAGACATTTTAAGGTAATGTTAAAATATCTTTCTATGTACAGATATTCTGTAAACTCTCTTTTAATGTTTTTTTGTTTTATTTTTCAAATTTTAGGGAAGCTGTATCAAAATGGCCAAGAAGTTCCTATGTCTACTTTGAATGTGGTGTGGCTCTTGCAAAGTATCAATCTAAGTTGGATGACATAGAAGAAGCAGCATTTAGTCTTAAAAGAGTTCCAAAACATAGCATTCCACGTAGAAGCGTCATTAGTAAACTCTTCACTTCCTAAATTGTAGAAGAGAAGGGCTTCGCTAATCCCTCATTGTTTTTGTGATATTGTAGTCTAGTCATGTGGTAAATGGTAGTTATTCAACAAGGATAATAATATGCACTAAATTTTACATTTTATTGTAAGAATATCAGATCAGAAATTACATTAAGAAATGTGATAATCAAAAAAAAAAAAGGAGAGACTCATCTTTAAAATTGAGCTCTATCAAGTCATGAGAATTGGTCATTACATTTTCCTTTAAGACTGATTAATCATTCATCTGTTCGTAAATTGAGCATTTTAAATATTTTTGGTAGACGTTCCATTAAATGCGTGATCTAAGAAAATTGTTTACACACTATAATTTACAAATTTACAAGAACTTACATGGAGTAACAAGAAAAGTTGTTACAACTAACTGCAGTATTATGTAGAAACAGTATCTGACCCTACTTTAAAAAAAAATATGAAAAACAGGCTTTAAAAGCCATCAATAGTTGTGGAAAAATTGAAGTCTTCTTGAAAAGTTCAACATCAATTTAAAAAGCACTCTTACCCTAGACATACATTTGTACAATGATTGGTATCTTGAATAATCCCCTTTGATACCGTTTGTACACCTCTGATAGCTGTTTAATACATCAAATAAGCACAGATGTTTAAAAGTCAAATGAACAGGAGTTAGCAGCGATGCTTAAAAAATTCTTGTAACCTAGCCTACTTAGAGAAAACATACCAAAATTGCTAAGTAAAGGAATAAATATTCAGACAAATTTCCACTTCATTGAATTTAATGTCCACATCACAATTTATAAGGTACATCCCGGTAAGGCACATTGATTAACATTCACCTTCAATTTTTTTTAAAATGCAAGTATAAAAAAATTAAGCAACAAGCAATCAAGAACCAACAACTTGTATTTAAATAAATACATAATTTGACATGATGGAGTAAATAATAAATTACAGGGAAGATTTAAAAAAAAGACTGATAAAGACAGGAAATAATACATGGACAAAAATGTGCAATATGCTAACAAATAACATAAGATTCTATTTCCTTTCTAATCTGTTCATTTATATGATAAATGACTATAAAATTATAAAGATACACACATTGGCAACATGTGATGTCATCCTGTCCTAGAAGTATTTATAGACACTTGCAGCTTTTTCTTTTTGTCTAATTTACAAATCAGTCCGCTATCACAGAAAATAATTTCATTGTCCAAGTGGGCTTCCACCAAAATTGAAGGATGCAGGCACCGTTTGTTGGTTAAAAACATAACCTGGAATGAATTGTTTTATTACAATGTGCTCATGCATTGTTGTTTTAAACTTTAGGTTTTCTACTTACCACCACTCTGTTCTATTCGTTTACTTTCTGCTGCTGCTTTGCGTTGATCAGCCAAAACAAAGACTTCTTGCAGACCTTTGGTTTGCTCCTCAGTTAATTGTCCAGTGAGGGCCTGATACCAAGCTGGATCAGCCATTTGAAGACCTTCAATTTGAGCCAGAAAGAGGGGTCAAAACTTCACTAAAGATACATAAGTTCAGAGGGAAAATGACTAACTAAATGATTAACTTACTCTGCATGATTTCTTTAAAGACAATGTACTCATCAATAGGGCAATTATCTTCATCTAATGGGGTATTGTAGCTTTCCAATGCTGTTTCTTCATTTGCCTCATAATCTTCATCATCATCGTCATCCTCAGAATCAGCATCCTAATAGTGCAGGGTAACAATAATATTCAGTCAAAATAAAAATTGGGAAGCGGTAGATCAAGAATGAGAGCCTTCAGCTAGCTGTATTACCTGAAGTTGGGCATTAACTGAAAATGCATTATTGTTTGCCTTTTTAGTGACCCTCTCCTGTAGTCTTTCCAAATATTCAGCTCCAACTTCATCAATTTCATCTTCATCACTCGAAAGAACCTCTGATGAGAAGAACAAGAGTGTTAAGGAGTGTTAACAATGAACAATACAGCAAGGTGTCTGAAAACTTTACCTGCTTCTATGTCTGACTCCTCGTCATCATCTTCCTCTTCCTCTCCTTCCTGAGCTTTAGCTAAAATTGTAAAAATAAATATGGAAATAAGTAAAACTTATTACATAGAAAACATTAAATAAAAAGAAGAGAAAAAATTACCTGCGTATGCCCGTTTCAGACCATCAAACAAAAGGATCATTGATGGCATAATCTGGTTGATACATTCATTCAACACAGGTGGACGGTTTTGACCCATGCTTAATAGGGTGCACAGGCCCAGCACACACAGTTTACGATCATGTAGGCTGCAACACATTAATTTCTCGGTGAATGTGAAGTTCAACTCAAGTTTAGATTCCAAATAGAATGAAAGCACATTGTTGTCCAGAACCATACCCTAAGAAACAGTCAGTGTCATGTATCCACTGCTTAATAAAGTGAGCAGTAATAGATTCAGTAGGGGACATTTGCATTTGAAGTTTCTCCATTGTTTGGAATAAGAGCTCTGGGTTGTAGTAAAGAGCTGCAATAACAACTTGAAGGCACATTGTACGTAATTCTGATGTTTTCACTTCACGAACCAAGCGTCCAAGTACCAATTCTACAAATGATGGAATGCACTGTAATAAAAAAGATACAGCAGTTAATATCCATAAGATACAGAACAGGATTCAAATCACATCAAATGGTTAATCAACTCTAAAGTTACCTGGTCAATGTGCCCCTTGCATTGTAAGATAATAACTTCTAGAAGTTTGGCAGCATGACATTCTGGGTCCTCACCAGAATCACCAGTTAAGACCTGCAGAAAGAAAAGTTGATATTGAATACATGTTACTATACAAGTCAACACAGTTCTCAATGACAAGGTTGATAACCACTAGGAGCTTCCCATATCCTCTTTTGAAAGAAAGCAAGACTTTGGTGAGTACTCTGGGTAACATAGTACAAATATGCATGAAAGCCATCCCGTCCCACCACCATGAGTGTTAAAATTGAATGCAATGTCCGAAATGAATTTCTGCAATGCAGTAACACGCAGAAATTCTCCATACAGAAGAAAGGAAAGAAATTTGAAGATTAAAATAATTTTGAAGAATGGTTAAGTTTCTTCAATTACTGCCAATACATATAAACTGCTCCAATGCACTGCATACCTCAACAACTGCCTCTTTAATGGAAGGATCTGAGTTTCGATTCAAAATCTGTAAACAATAACAGAACCAAATTCTACAAAATTATACGTAATTATCTGTGACTTCACTTAACTAGGCCAGATCAATTCAAATAGAAATACAAGGTGAGTCTTTGATTGCTCAATCTCCAGCAACAAAGGAAAATAAAGCAACAAGGATAAGATATTTTGACCAATAGAAGCAATACTATGGACAGAGAGATAGTGGCATGCTTTCATTGGAACCAATCCAACAAAGGGGTACTCATGCAAAAGATAGCTTCATTTCAGGATGAGAAGAAGGGAAACTTTCATCTAAGACACGTCACACAATAGAGATAATAAAAACAATACAAATCCCCTACTAGATTAATATTTGTCCATAATATTACATAAAACTTACAGCTTTGCACATGTTGAACACTGCCAAGACATGATTCTCATTAGACAGGAAGGCCGGAGTGTCAACAGTCACATAGTTATGGAGGGCTGGCATCATTTCAGTGAAGTAATCAAAACCATCCTTTTGGAACACCTATTAGATTTGAACAAAATGGAAAATAATACAAAATTACAAAAAGAGTTACTACATGGAAACAGTGGTGCTGGTTATAAATTACAAGAGCAATGTATGCTGAACACACCTGATAAATAAGTTCCAAAACTTTCCACATGTCAGGAGATATGTTCTTGCTTGTAAGGTCATAAACTAAAGAGAGAGCTTCTTCATAGAACTCTGAAAAATGAAAAGAAAAGGTTTAGTTTGAAAACCAAAGTCATTATTCCATGATGTTATAGATCACTGAATGAGAAAAGCTGCACTGTTTAAAAACCAAAGAAATGGAGGTGAGGCAAGAAGGATAGAGAATGGTAGAAAAGGGAAGGAAAGGGAAGGATAGGGCAGTCTTTTCCCCACTAAGTAAATGCCAAAAATATAGGTTTGGGTGTGTATCTATGAATAAGTCCCAGGAATGTATGATTGGTTGTCAGATTTGAGTTATCTAAGTAATTGATCCAAAACAATCAAGAGACAGTTTGGCTCAAACCATTGCAGCAGAAGTCCCCTTTGGTTAAAGATGCTCGCTGCTCACCCATGACAGACTGGGAGAAAATGTGCCCAACAACTTGCAGCACAATAGGCTGGAGCTGAGCTATAATTTCTGGTTGTTCCTCCATAACAGTTAACAATGCTTCAATGGTATTGAGAAGTCCCATGGCAGTGATAGCCTTCTCATCAGATCCTTCATCGGATTCAAGGACTTGACTGAAGGTAGCAGCCTAGGGCAAAGATAAATCACAGCTATAGATGAATCAATCCTCTGTAACATATTATGACTTACTCAATTGCAAAGTCAAACCGTACCAAGTGTGTACACATTTCAACAGCAATTGGTGTAAGTTGTTCTGTGTAAGTACACACAATCTTCTGCATAACACTTGTAAGATCATCATTCTCTGTTTCCCTGATGATATTGAGGAGTTCCAAAGCTATCCTTTTTATCTGTTGAAAGAGATAATACAACATTATAGACAAAATGTATTATAGTTGAAGTGAATTACTCAAAAGTTTGAATCAAAATCCCATTTACCTCTGGCTCAATGTATTTTGGTGCCTTATCCTGAGCATTGAGGAACATTTGGAGAGCAATGGCTGCTTCAACTTTGACTGGCAAATCACCATCAGTCAAAAGAGCATTAACAACCAAACGGATTGCTTCAGCAAGAACTTCTTCCTGCTTGAACTTGACTTCACTGAAATAGTGCAATACCCAGCATGCCTGGTCGAAATTAAGAACAGAGATAAAAATTGCTAATACCAATAGGTAAGAACAGATTACTGTGAATAGCTTACCCTTGCTCGCAAATGACCATGAGGGCTTTGGAATTCACGGAAGACATATGAATGAATTAAAGCATCCATCTGCTCTTTAAAGAAGTTCTTCTTCAGCAAAATGTCAGCCATAGTGCCAACCTAAAAATAGAGAAATAAAAAAATAAAAAAACTTTACTATTGAGACTTATGGGAACTAGTATGCTTTACTACTTCCAAACTTGATTTTTCAGAAAAAATCATTCAGGTATAATTTTAAAAAAGGGACAAAACACATACCATATGCAAAGCACCATCTTTCTGTCTAGGGTCAGCATTGGAAGCATTCAACACCTGCATTATAAACTCCATAGTTTTCTGCAGCATATCTTTCCTCTTTTTACAACAAGAGTGGAGAAGAGTTTGGGCAGCAGTAATAGGTGAAACAAAGTCTTCAAATATGTCTGTGAAAAATCAATGATAAAAATTTTAAGATGAAAACTGGTAAACAAAGAGAGTGAGGAAGCAAAGAAACTTACCAAACTTCACTCTAATGTATTCATATGGATCAGTCTCCCACAATTCTTGGTCTGATGGTGAATGTGACATAATTGGGAACACAACATCTTGAATAATTGCAAACATATGTGGCTTCAAGAACTTCCATGCATGAGCATGGCTAACACTAGAAAAGAAATTGTTAGTCAGAATTAAAGTCGCACAAGGTGAAGTGTAAACAAACAGGAAATTGAAAGTTACCCCTGATTGATGTAATTAAGTGTTTGTTGCAAAACACGTGGTGATACATATATTTTGTTTCTATACTGGTCCAAGACTTTCAACAGCACTTCAAGAATGCCAGCAGAAAAAGTTTTAAGGAACCAGTCTGCAAACTCCTTGTATTCTTTGGTGACATTTCCTGGGCTTCCATACCTTTGAATCAATACATTGATTAGTCAAAACAACAATTTTCTTCATAGCTTTTGAAATCGGTTTAACTGTTATTAACATACCTTTCAAACATACGGTAAAGAATATGTAAGGCCCACTTCTTGCATTTCCACCATGGCAAGTCAACTCTGTCTTCCTCATCTACTTGGTTGGTAGCTTCAGGCACAGGTCTATCAGTGACCTCACGGGCAATCTCCATCCATTGAGAGAAAACTTCCCTTGATATTAAGTCAAGAGGAAGAGAGTACTGAAAGTAACAGTAGATAAAAATAATGAAAGAATGACTATTTACATTAAAACTCACAAAATAATTTAAGGGTAAAAATTTAAGTACCTGGGTTAAAGCGAAAAATATTTTTAAAATTTGTTTCTGAAGAAGAACTGACTGCTCAGATGGGTCAGGTAAAAGCCTGACACACAGAGAATACATCATAGGGAATAGAAGCTGCATAGCTTCATTAAGAGGTCCTCTTTCTTCTGGTTTTTTGTATCTGTTCAGGAATTATAATGAATGTAATAGCTGAAGTGCAGGTTTTGTAAATTACAATGACTGATTCAGTTTACTAGGATAGCTTACTCGAAAACTTTCACCAGCTGGTACAAGCACAATAGAGCTCCAGGCCAACCACTCCCATCTGGATTTTGGAGATAAATATTGATCTTATCAACAATTTCTGTCCATCTCCCTGGGAAGTCATGTTTCACTATGTGACTTACGCAGATAGACAGCTGAACCCTAAAGAAAAAAAAGTGGGATCATATAAGCAGTTTCCTTTAGGAATATGGAGAATAGAGGAAAGGGAAGAACAACAAACCTAATTATATCAGGAGCATGAACAACAGCATCCACTACTGCATCACGGATCATGGCCCGATCCTGTTCGTGTAAACTAAATGGTAGTGGTTGTCCTGGTTCTGCCTCCTTGTCGGCCCAATTTTGTGTAACCAAATTTTTCAGATAAACGACACCTGGTAGAAAAAATAACAGCCATAAATAAAGCCGTCACATAGATAACATTTGTAATGATATTATGTGGGACAACTAATCAACTCACCAGCCTGTCGTACAGGCATGTCAATATCATTCATCATGATAACTTGTAAAAGTGAAGGAGAGAAGCCAATTATCTTATGAATCTGCGAATAAAAATTTAAGAAAAGTTAGAAAAATTTAAATAGGTACCCAAATATCAGCTGATTAGTGTCAGAAGCAAAAAAATATGTACCGAATGACTACTTAAGTGTGATGATCAAATAATTTATTGGTGTACTAAAAATTTGAAATCCTGCACGAACAGGACGGGTCTTTTGGCATGATTCATCATATATTAATGAATCAATGAATGGTAAACATTGACAAGAGGGTCATGAAATAGGTGGGTGTTTAAAATTGTACAGAGGGAGACATGAAATGTATTGATGTAACCGATTCTGTAAAGGACACCTATGATTCATCTTGTGTGCTTTCTATGAAATTCGAGAACATCTGTTGTCAGTGCCCGTATATGGATTTCAAGCGTGATCCGGAGTGATTAGAGGATATCAAGAAGGGCAACAGCAGCCATTGACAATCGGCTCCGACGGTAAAACCGTTACAATTGATATGCAAATTGCAACGCACAACGCGCGGTGTGTACCGCGCGTTGGACGTGGTTACCGGAAAAATGTGCCATGGAGACATGTGATATAGTCAATAGGCTCCTCCTACGGTCAAGAGAAACGCCCCTCGTCTAAGTAGGGTGCTAAACAGGTCATCAACCATCGCAAATACGAAGTATAGCAAAGTACGGGGGCAACATGATAAGATAGTGAGCAAAATCAATGCTTTAAATCCCACACGACCCCGACCGCATGTCAGGCCCTCGCACCACACCGTGCCATCGCGTACCTGTTCTAGTTGTTCTTCGGCTTGTTGACGTTGATTAGGGTCTATAGTGGCTCTTAAAATATCAATAAGTTTTCGATGATCCATTTTAGCGGTTTTTGGCCCTCCAGGCACAGCTGTTCACGGGAAAAATTAATATAAACAATAGGGCGATTTAACCCAACACTCCCTGTCTCAAGAAATTCTGGTATGTCACGTGACCGACACGCCAATGGCGGGCTTTGAATGTGGTCTGCGCCTTGTATATATACACTCCGGGAGGTTTTCAATGTCAAACTTTTGGTAACTTCGGCAACGCTGTAATATGTTCTGCGAATAAGAATGTGTCGGCTTAAACAAACAACAGCATTTAGGGGTGGGTAGTAACTCGCGGATGGTAAGGAAAAAAGGTAATTTTCTTTCGCAATTCTGGTTTGATTTAATTGAAAACCTCTAAAAGATGAATAAGAATCTCATATTTGCTTTTGTATTATCCGTTTTATTTGTTTCTGTTATTCATTTTTCCAATTTAGTTTGCATTCATTGAGGCATTAACCTCTTCCGCGCTCAGCTGATTTGATTTGTTCTTTGTACAGATAACTTCAGTACTTTTCAAACATGAGGGTCACTGAAGTATTGTATCATAAAATAAACCGGTATCGAGCATGGCAACTCAATTGGGTCATGAACAAGAGGAAGAAAGTGCGTGAGAGTAGAGAGTCCATTCATATCAAGAAGTTAGGATATCCAACTGTAGCTGCTGAAGATTTCCTAAAAAATGCCGAAGAAGAAGTTGTACCCTTGGAGTAAGCAGCTTTGAGCAGTCTTTCTGTTTTCTCAAGAGGAATTCCTTCCTTATATTCCCTTTTGTTTTCAGAATTGACAATGATGTTCAGGAAGCTGAGCCTCTTCTTCAAACAGTAAAATTTGACTCGAGTCATCCTTTATACCAACAAGATCCACTTCCTTGTATAGATGACACCAATGTGCTGCTTGAAGGTGTAGAGCAAGCAAAGGTGTTACTGAACACTGTACACATTGAGGGTCTGCCAAAAGAAATTGAAGACAGTGTTGGGAGTCGTGCCATTCCTTTCCAGGATACTAGAGTAAAGAGGTATTCCCAATCTATCCATTTGTTTCATTTGAAAACAACAGCAGAGTATCATGTTTTTAAAATTTTTCTTTTGCCTCCCATCAGAGTTGTTATGTCTTCGCAAATTTTTGACGCCATGCAAGTCCTCTTACCAAAAAGGAAAGACCCTGAGAGACCTGAGTGGAACTTCCCTCGTGATTATGGCATTGACTCTCAGCGCAAATTGTCAGTACAATTTCTATTGTGAACTTGAGTTGCATTCATGACAGTTACATGTAACCACTTGATAACTTTTTTTTGCAGTAACTTAACAATATCTCAGATGCTTCAGCTCTGTGAGTTTTTGGATGGAAAAGCATCATTAGTTAATAGAGCTCAAATTTCTGATGCTTATTGTTGTGCACGCCTTGATAAAGAAGGTATTTTGTATGCATAAAACTCTGGTATTACTGCTTAAATTTTCAGTTTGTTCTGTAATTAATATTTTTTCAGGTGTTCCTTTTCAAATTAAAAATCGTGCAGATATCCTAGTCACCAGCAAAGTGCCCATTGCTCCCCTAGCATCCAGAGATACTGGAAGTTCCACACCACTGCCTGATATTCATCCACTCCATTTTACTGTTTCCATACCCAAGCAACATTTTTACCACTCTGAAAGTATTTTTCGTAAGTACTGGTAGTGTATTCTTACAGGTATTCTTATTTCCTCTGTACATCAGTTCTGACAGGAACCTTTCTTCTTTCAGCAATCTCAAAAATGTTTGCAAAACCACATCCCCATACAGCTTTCTTTCACTATGATCCATCAGAGGTAAAAAATTTGTATGGAGAACCAGTGACAGAATCTCAGTTTTTGTCCCGGACTCTTGTTAAAGCATTTGCAGTTGCAGCTTCTCGTGCCCAACAACTGTATGGGGTAAGTTTAAATCAAATTTGATTTGTAGAATTGTTTTACTTTTCCTAATTTTCCTCTTTCTTGCAGGATGATGTGAAAAAGCTTCCTGAGCCTCTCACTTTACAGGTAGTTCACAGTGATAACAAGAGATTTCATTTTGGAGTATTGCAGTTGAATACATTACTTTTAAGTTCACCTGAGGAGAAGAATATATTTTGGATGCTTCCTAGCCCAGTTGATCTATATGAGGAGTGTGGCTATGTGAAGGGAAGACCTGCCCTTCAAGATTACAACCCTGAGGTGTTTCAAAGAATACTAGCCTTTTACTTCAATGGCATACCATGAGTGTTTGAATGTTTTGTTATTAAAAGTGAATCATAAACTAGTGCGTTTACTTTAAGCTAACCTACTGCCCCCTTCCTGCATTGTTACCAAATTGACAGGCTAACAGGGTTTTGAAGTTACAGTACGCAGCTCCAAAAGACAAATGGAGACATACTGCCCAAATTAACGGATGTGACCCGCAAGTTTTAAATTAAAAACTATTAATACAAACTACAAATAAAAGCCAGAAAAAATTTTTGGCTTAATTCAGTTGCTTATCTGAAACATTGAATTACAAAGTGAAATCACCTTAAGATCAGAACTCAATCTAAGAGGGGCAAGAAACTCAGCAACTTGACAATTACTAATAGTACACCCAAGTACTTAAGTTTGAGACTGCTGTTTGATCTAAATTAGCATATGCCTCTCTGGGATACTCTTGACTAAACATAAATTTACATGAGATTGGATACAGGTTAGATTGGAGAAATTTGACAGAGTTAGGAGATAAAGCTTTATTCAACGAAGTTAAGCATCAGGTCTCTGAGTGACGGGGCGGTGGTTCTTGGACAAGAACTCAGCATACTGAGCATAGGGAGCCTTGGTCAATGGCATCTCCTTCCACAAGTCAGGGGTCAGGTAAGCATAAGTCTTGGCGATGGCAGCATAGGTGGCCTTAGCTGTAAGGAAGAGAATTCCAGAATTAACAGATTGCAGAAAGAAATTATTGAAAGAGGTTCCATTGACACTGCACTTACCGAAGTTTCCAAGAGTACCAGTGGAACCACGGGCAGAAGTGTAGCAATCCTCAATACCAGCCATCTGCAGGAGCTTCTTAGGGACTGGGGCACCGACAATGCCAGTACCACGGGGAGCAGGGATCAGACGCACCTGGACTGAACCACACTTACCAGTGACCTGAAATGTAAAAATAAAATCAATGTAAATTGGAGAAACATTGAACAAAAGATAAATGTTTGCTTCATACGAAGATTACAGTGAAAAAGCACTGTAATCAATTCTCAGTAGCAGCAAAGCATGATACCCAACTAGTAAGCCCCAGAACAGGGTTTACTAGAGGATGATCAGCTAAGCTTTCTCTTCCACAGGTGTAACGCTAGCTAAATCACTGAAGGATAGAGCCTGCTGACTCCATGTGGACTACATAACAAGCACAATAATAATTGTATGCTCCTATACTAAGATGGAAATGATGGTCATATCTATCAACTCTCAGGAGCTGCCAAGTGTGATACCCATATGATATACTCCAGAACAGAGTACACCAAAGGGCAGTCAACTAAGCTTACTCTTCCACAGGTGTAACGCTAGCAAAATCAGTTTCAGATGGTGCCTGCTGACTCCATGTGGACTTGACTGTAATAATTTCAAAGTGGGAAGGCTCACCTTGCAGGGCACGGTGTGGGGTTTGCCGATCTTGTTACCCCAGTAGCCTCGCCTGACGGGGACAACCGACAGCTTAGCTAAGATGATAGCACCACGGATGGCAGTGGCTACTTCCTTGGAGCACTTAACTCCAAGACCAATGTGGCCGTTGGAGTCACCAATAGCAACAAAGGCCTTGAAACGAGTACGCTGACCAGCACGGGTCTGTTTCTGGACGGGCATGATCTTCAGAACCTCATCCTTCAGAGACATACCCATGAAGAAGTCGATGATTTCACTTTCCTGGAAAAACAGAACCCAATGTTATAGACTGTATTACTAACTGGATTAAAGCATAAATTCGTAGAAAGTTCATCAAACCTTGATGGGAAGGGAGAAGAGGTAGATCTCCTCCAGGGTACGGATTTTGCCATCTCGGACAAGACGGCCGAGCTTGGTGACGGGCACCCACTCCTTTTCGGCCTCCTTACCGCGTCCACGGCCACGGCCGCGACCACGACCGCGGGGACCTCCACGGCCACGGTCGCCTCCACGAGACCCAAAACCACCTCGGAAACCTCCACGAGCGGCAGGCGCAGCGTCCGCCATGTTTCTGTAATGACAAAATTAAACATGTACACGACTGACGACAGGGCTGGAAGGTTAGGTTTTCAATAGCAGCGCGTTGGAAATAGGATCAGAAGCTTGAAATTAAAGAAAGAGCCCCGTGGAAAAATATGCAGAATACAAATATAATCGAATCAGCCTAGAAAAAACATGCAAGAGGAACCAGAGGAGAAAATGACTCAAGATGCCACCGCACGCTGGCGCAAGTGGTCAGTGACACTCGCAGAGAAAAATGGTAAATGAAAGGAAACGCGCAGTAATTTTACAACCAGTGCGAAATTAGTGGTGTAAAGAGTTAATCAACAAGTAGCATTACTAACAATTTGGGCTAGGACTTAAAGATTTTAAAACAAAAATACGGAGCAACGCTACTCACACGTGTGTCTTCGGCACGGACCGGAAGAAACGAGACACACAACTGAAGAGAATACGAAAAGAAGGCTCTAATATCACATCCGCTACAGAGGCGCGCCTGGTGGCGGAACAGTGAGTGAAGTCGATCTGCAAACAACTGCATTTTCTGCATATAACCAAAACGTCTGTTTTGTTGCTTTGTTTTGAATCCCCAGCAGACCGACCAAAGTGTTACTTTGTTTGTATTTAAACTGATGCTTTTACGTTTTCAAGGTGATTGTGTCAGATTGGTGAAATAACTTACATCTTGGTGCCCCTCTTTGTGATTTTCGCAGATTTAATTTAACCAGTGGTGAGTAATTTATTTATAACCATGTTTACACATGGTGAAAGTGGTTATGTTCCTCTTTACTAGGCGTTCATGTTTGTTTCTTGTTTTTTTTTTTTTAATTTAAATAGCACGTTTAAACATTATACATATCTGTCCATCTTTCTTTCGTCAACCAAGTTTTCTCTTTACTTATCAGTGGATGGCTACCGGAAACCATAGAGAGCTGGCGAATGCTATTAAAAATGTTCATCAGACGCTTCGCTTGGAGGCCAAAAAAATTGGTGAGGAGAAAGCATGGCGTGAACACTGTCAAAAGTCTGAGGTCTTACAGGTAATACATAGATTGATTTTAATTTGGTTTGTGTGTAATTCATACAAGTCGTAACACATTCAAATTTTCTACTGCTCCTTCTAACAGAACTACTCTCAAGCAATGCAGCAGCTAGCCACTGAACATTGGGAAAAAAATTCTTCCGATACACAAAATAAGAGGGCTGTCAGTCGAGTCCAGTGGATTGTCAAGCAATGTGAAGATTATTTCTTTTCTGAAAGAAAATTTCAGGCATTTCAAAAAGAAATTGCATTCTGTTCACGATTTAACTTACATGGTGATATTTTAGCAGAATATAAAAGCAAAGCTTCTGAAGTCCCTGAAGTAGTAAATGTACTGGATGTGGGCAGTTGTTACAATCCCTTCAAAATCTTCTCTAGATTCAATGTTGTTGCTGTAGATATTGCTCCTGCATCTTTCGATGTTTACAAATGTGATTTTTTAAATTTAGATGTGCTGGAGGATAAAAGTAAACCCACTAAACTTGATGGTGAGATAACTTCCCTTGCTGCAGCATCATTTGAAGTCATAATTTTTTCATTGCTGCTCGAATATTTGCCCTCCTCTAAACAGAGATACAAGTGTTGCAGTAAAGCCTCAAAATTATTAGCTCCGGGCGGTATTCTGTGTATTGTAACTCCCGATTCTAAACATGCAACTGCAAATTCTGGGATAATGAAAAAGTGGAGGTATGCTTTAGCTTCTGAAGGTTTATTACGCCTTGAATATGACAAATTACCTCATCTGCACTGTATGGTGTTTCGCAAGTGCATACATCCTTGTCTTGCAAGGGAATGGCTTTCTTCCGTAATGTTGTCAGACACAAAGAAGGGGAAATCTATCTCTGGATCTCCAGAACAACTCATGGTCATTCCTCAGGATTTTCATTCTTATTCAGAAGAACAAGATAACTTAAAGCATGAAGTTAGAGATGACGATGAATCAATTGCAACCATTTTTGCAGATTTGCCTACTTTATAATGTTAGTTTTAAGAATAGTAACAACCATTGTGATATGAATATAATAGGGTACAGTATGATACCATAGATATTCATTGGACCAAATATGGATGCTCCTGCTCATACAGATTAGGTACATACATTCATGAGACAAAAAAACATTGAATACATACACATGAAGAGAAAAGGGTAGACATTTACCATCACTTACAGTGTGTAAGACACCTTATTGAACGTACAGAGCACTCTTAGGACTTACGCACATCATTGTGTCCTGTACTGTAAAAAAATTCTTCTCAATTATTCAATTTTCAAATTTCCAAGCACACTTCAAGAACTATCTTAAAAAGCAGCATAACATGTATTTCAAGATTGACCAGTCTTTAGCAATAAATTTAGTGACTTATATAGTACAGTGTTCTTAAATCGAATGTTGGATCACACAAAGCAAGTCAAAACAGGGGAAAGGCATGGGAGTACAAAAGATGTTTATTATAATCAAATTTTTTATTTTGTCCCAGAACTTTCCCCCACATTACTGTTAATTAGCAATGAGCTTTAGCTAAAGTAGGCTTTATTTTTACCAAAATACTTACATAATGGTAGAGCCTACAACTTCAAAACTCAAACTAATATACAAGAATATGGTACCCTAAATATATATAGGCTGGATATTGGTCCAAATACCAAGAGTTTTCACTTGTGTCCAAAACAGAAATTTGTACCAGTCAAAATCAGAAACTTCCAGAGTTTTTCTTCTATCATTCATAAAAGTGTCCTGTCATTTACAGTATATGGATGCTGACAACATCAGTCTCTCAAATTATAATTATCACAATTAAATGAAGTATAAAAATATTTATCCCTTAAAAAACAAAGGAACCTGGATTTTATCCCCTTAATTTTAAAAACTTTTTGTTTTCTTTTTCCAATTCTTGAAATAGCTATTTGAGATTTACTTTTCTTTGACATTCATCTTCAATCATTAGGTAAAATATTTAATGTATGTCACTGTGGTGACAGATTTCTGCAAAACGCCCAGTTCTAATCTCAGGCAGTATACAGGTTCTAACTAGGCCAGGGTAAAACATACACATTCCTATCCATGGAGCTGAACTTATTTCAAAATGAGAGAGCCTTAGCAAGGATATACATAATTACACAACAATAAGAGTGTATGTACATATAATATAGTTACCATTAACTACTCCAAAAAGTTTAACTTCTTCCTAAACTTGTTGCTGTGATAACACGAAAAAGGCAGGGTGACACTTAATTTTCCCTTCGGCAATCTATGTGATTTGGATTTACATGAGAAACATTCGAGTCGGCCAATGATAGTTTGAACTCAATAAAGGAAAAAGATGTGCCTTTTCAAATTTTTTATCTTTATATTTGTAAATTTTATTGATTAGAATGCATATTCTGAAAAACAAAATCAAATTGAAAGAAAGGATAATCATTTGCATGCATCTGCAATGCATCTACATTTTCTCACATGAAAGGTGTAATGCTAGAAATAGTTATTAGAACTTTGTTTGAATATGCACCTATGCAAAACCTAAGTTCTACATCTATGTGGCAGCAAGTAGAAGGCATCATATTGTGTTAAAATGATGTTACTCAAATAATCATCCACAGCTAGAGCACAACTTAGTGGAGCAAGGTCCACAATATTAAATCCCTGCCATCTTCTTCGCCACCACAGCTAATTCATTTTGGCACAAGTTGGCATTTTCTCCAGATTCAGAGAACCATGGAATGAAAAATGAACTGAAATTATCATACATAATAACTGTACAGGTAAAACTGACAACTCATTTACATTCTTACATTCTTACACATTAGTACAAAAGGTTTTGTAATGACAAGCAAGTAACACTGTGTTCCTTTATGAATTAATTGTCTTTTCTTTTTTTGCAATTTATTCCATAATTGAACACAGTGGTCTTTTCAGGTGCTTGTCACCACATCTAATTGTTTTGGCACAGACTGCGCAATCATTCAAGATTCAGATTAAGAATCATTGAATAAAAATTGAAACAAAATCACTAATAATAATACACTAAAACAAGTTGTATACAAGTAAGAGGAACATCTAGCTACAATGCTTCAGGTTGTACCTTTTAGTTTCTGGCCCAAAAGATACTGAACTAAAGTGGCTGAAGTTTAGGTAGTCTCCACTGTTTGGCTCTATAATTGAGCTCATCAAATTATACCCATACATTCTTAATTCACTTTGGGCTATTAAGTTTAATAATGGCATGAAGCCATGCAATTTATTTATTTTTGTAAAGGTCATATGATGTCACACTTTTTGACCTCTTACAGACAACATAAATGCACTAAAAATTACCCACCCACCAGGCGTATCACTTTATTTGGGGCGTTTGGAGGTCACCTGTCCGATAGCTACACGCCTAAGTTAATTGAGGTACAAAAAACATATATCAAGACTCAGTCTGCAACAGGGAGCCGGTGCCCATCATTCAGTGCCCTCTTACACATCCAGCGTCAATAAGAACCCTATCCTACAAATCCAAAGTTTTAACAAACCCATCAACATTTCAGGAAAGCCACGTCATTGATCCAGTCGTCCTGATACTACCAAGGGTGTATTTCCAACTCACAAGACGACTGTAAGTCGACGACAGATGACTGCATTGGGTGCCGCGGGGCCGGCTCTCTTCAAAAGTCTGAGGCGAGGAAGGACGAGCTCCTTCGGGCGAGCCGGCCGGGGGTGCTTCACATGGAGCGCTTGCGGGAGGACTGGCCCGTCCCCGAGCCCGAGCGGCCCTCCCGGATCTCGACGAGCGGCGAGTACTCTCCCCTGAAGGTGAGCCCGGTGGCGGAGTCGGTGCTGAGCCCGGGGTCGGTGCGCGGGTCCACGTGCAGCCGGTGCGGGCCCAGGTAGTGCATGGGGATGCTGGAGTGCTGCGCGCAGTGCCGCGACGGCAGGTGGCCCAGGCAGTTGCACGAGCACACCGACACCTGGTCCTGCACCTCCTGGTGCGCGCGGCAGTGCCCGGCCGCCACGGGCATGCCGCCGCGGGTCGACAGCAGCTTGCCGTTGAGCGCCATGATGTCGCCGTCCAGGGTCATGACGTGGTGCGAGGAGCTCGTCAGCTCCTCCTCGTCGCGCCGCACGTCCTCCGCGTTGCTGCAAACAGAGCGGACGACGGCGTCAGCACACGGGGGCCGTGCAGTGTGCCGGTGGCACCAAGTCCAAACACCTCCCCGTCGACTCACATGACCATGAAGCGCAGCACGAGCAAGTTTATGCTGGCAGCCACCACGGCCAGCCCGAACAGGATGAAGACCAGGCTCAGCGCGACGTACCCCGGGTTGTTGATGAGCGCCTGGTCGTTCTGCGAGAGAGACAAATGACCGGTGAGTGCGAGCGAGACGCGCGCCAGCAGCAGGTCGTGTAGTACGCGGCGCCAGAAACGGTACCTGCAGGGCGACGTAGTCGCCAAAGCCGATGGTAGTGAGCGTGACGAAGCAGTAGTAGAACGAGTCGAAGTAGGACCAGCCCTCGTAGCGCGAGAAGACGGCGGCGCCCGTCGTGATGATGGTGGAGGACAGCAGGCCCGTGGCGATCAGCAGGTTGATCTCGGTCGCGTCCTGGCTGGCGCAGCTCATGAGGCGTTTGGCCTTGCGTATGATCTGGGGGTAGAGACATTACATGGTTCAGGTTGAGCAGCCACGGGGCATGGCATGGTCGGGGTCGGTGCCCCGCTCCCCGATCGTCGAGTCGGAGCGCCTGTGCATGGGCCAGCCCGCCGCACTCAGCTGCCGCGCGGGACTGCCTACCCACGCTCGGGCAGGCGCTTCCCGGCCCGCACCACCGCTTCTGGTGCGGAGCACGTGCATTTTAGTTTTCCAATATAGTATTTTTGGAAGAAAGCTTCCAAGATTTATTTAAGGACATCTGAATTATTTTCATAAATAGCTTCATGTTTTT